ACCTATGGGTACTTCCCAGAATTTACCCACCTATGGATAATCCCAGCAGTATTAAGACCCATAATCCCAGCCTTGGATCACACATAATCCCAGTGGATCATGAGTTAACACAAATTCTAGAAGTCCTCACCCCATGACTGCATGAGGCTTTGGGGGGACAACTAGACCCAAACCATAACAATTACCAATCGAGTGGAGTTGACTCCTGTTCACTATTCCTCCAGGTCACCCTCCTAACTAAGAAAACACCAATCGTTTGTTGTGTTTTCCAGGTTCCAAACAATTCTCTCAGGCACCCCTCTGTCCATCCCGATAGTCGGCACTGGACCTCGCTGACGTTTGCTGTGCTGCACGGACACATCTCTGTCGTCCAGGTGAGTTCCTGCTGGGTGCACATTGTGTCCCCCACTTCCCAGTGGACTGATGCTGAATACAGCCCCAGCCTCACTCTGGATTCCGAGGTGTACTTCAGCCGGGCGCACCTGATCAGCAGGGCAGCGCCCACCTGGTTTGTGCTAAGAACAGCATTAGTACAAAAATCCATGCAGCAATGTGGGATCAAAGACCCAGACCCAAGAAGGGCAGAGGCCCGGTTTCTCCTGCGCATGGCACTTTGTTTTCTGCCCTCCAGCTCTCCCTGACCCTTCACTCCTCTCCTGAATCCACTCCCAAGCCAGCCCCACACCCTGGCTCCCTCCTGAGTGGTGGTTCCAGAAGAGGAAAGTTAGGGCAGAGCCGCCTCCCACACCAGCCGGGGCACTAGCCACACCCCACACGCCACCCAGGGCCATTGGATTTCCCGGCACCCTCCTCCTGTACTACTGGAAGTCCTTATGCTGCCCTTGTCCTCAGCTGGCTTGTGAGGCGTGGGGGAGCAGGGTGCATGTCCTGGCCCTGGGTAGGAACAGGGCCACACCTGGCCCGCTTGGCAGCTCCTACCCTCCCAAGAAGCCAAGGGGAGTTCGGCCTGAGAGCTCTGCTCTGGGCCTGCCTGGACCGGGGCCCAGTTTCATCTGCACGGGCAGGACTCCGCCTCCACGGCCTGGGCAGGGCAGTTTCTGACCGAGCAGTCTCCTGCAGAGAAGCTGGAGGTCAGCTGCTCCTCACACAGGCAGGCCCCAAGCAGGGTGTGTCTCCAGGAGCCTAGGAGCCTCCAGTCCTATTGTCTACTGGCAACCTTGCCCTAGCTGGGACAGGGAAAGGCCTCTTGCTTCCCTAGACAGTGGGACATCCTGCCTCTTCCTTTTGGCAGCCCAGGAAGATAAACTGCTGGGCCTCTGCGTGGAGCTGTGGAGATGTAGGTCTCCAAGCCTGTGCCCTGCAGCCTTGTTTCATTTCACCTCAGCAGTGCTGCTTTGCAGATGGCAAAGACAGAGGCTTGGAGAGTTGAAGCACCTGCCCCTGGTCAGACACTGGTCAGCGACCAGCACCGCACCGCACTGTTCCAACACCTGCTGTCCCAGGGCCTCAGTTTCTCCTGTAGTTTAAGAGTGACAGTTCTCTTCTGCCTATCCACATGAGGTTCCCTGGACAGGCCACCGAGGCCAGTCGGTGGGGAAGCCTCTAGAGAAATGGTAGCGGTGGGTCCCCTCAGGGCCTTGGTCCAGGGGGGTTCTCCAGTTCCAGTTCTCCAGCCTCAGGGTGAATTGCGCAGTGTCACAGGCCTGGAGAGAGCTCCAGCCCCACACCCGACCCTGGCTGCCTCTGCCCTTCCCAGAGGCTCCCCACAGCCGAGCTAAGTGCTGACTGGTACCCACCTCTCTGTGCCCCTGGTAGTTGCTGCTGGATGCAGGTGCCCACGTGGAGGGCTCAGCAGTGAGCAGCGGTGAGGACAGCTACGCGGAGACGCCCCTGCAGCTGGCCTCCGCAGCTGGTAGGCACCCAATCCCAGGCTGGGTGTGCAGACATACCCTCCCCTGAAATCATTCCCTCCAGGCCCTTGGGGGTGTCCCCTAGACTGCCCATGGCATCCTGCTGAGCACTGTGCCCAGAAAGGAGCCGGCAGAGCAGGGCCATTCCCTGTGTAGGCCCAGGAGGGACCATGGCAGGACAGAACACAGCCAGCCCTCCTCCTCCCTCTCCCAGACAAAAGGAGCCGGCTTTCTTTAGGGTTCCCCAGGGCTCACAACCAAAGTCCCCTCACCCACCCCTTTCCCTTCACCTCACTGCCCCTTGTTGGCTCCCTCTTCATCCTCAGATCTCCCCCTTATCTTTCAGGGAACTACGAGCTGGTCAGCCTGCTGCTGAGCCGGGGCGCCGACCCCCTCCTCAGCATGCTTGAAGCCAGCGGCATGGCCTCCTCCCTCCACGAGGACATGAACTGCTTCAGCCACTCAGCTGCCCATGGCCACAGGTACACACCCCACATACATGCCCCAGGTGACATGGGGATTGAGAAATAGGCTCCTGTGAGCCCAGATTGCCTGAGTGAAAGCTAGGCCTGAAGATGCCAGGTTGGAGTAGCTCAGAGAGGTCCTGATAGCCCTGGAGCTGGGACAGTGCCCAGCCAGCACCATTGGTTCCGCTTTCCAGAGAAGACAGTTACAGCTGCAGCTGCCAGGGCCCACCTAATGCAGCACCACTCTGCTTGGTGGGGTCCTCCAGTGCCCCGTGGTGGCCTCAGGGTAACCATCCACAAAGTGCATGGCTCAGCTAAGAAGATGCCCCCAAACAGAGGGTGAACCTGCCGAGTTATAACGGGCAGCAGCAGGCTGAGATCAGCGCCATTGGGCATTACTTCAAACAGGAAGTAGAAAATGCTAGAGGGTTGAAAAGGTGTGGAGAGGGGCTGGCCAGTGGGTTACCTCCTTGCTGTCCCTGGGTGCCCTCCCCATCCCCATCACCATCACCAGCACGGCCTGAAGGCTTTGTCTCTGTACTGTTCAGACCCTCTCTCTTCACCCATCTCCACCCCAGGCACCATCTCTGATGTCACTGCCCAAGGCCTTCCTCCCCCCCAGGCCCCGCATTTGCCCCATTGGCTTCTCTGCCTGTCACTGTCCCTCAGGCAGACTGTACTTTTGGGATAGGCACTGGCACCTCACCTTCCCCTACCACCCCCTGGTGCTCTATAAACTCTGAAGCTATCAAAGCACCAAATGAGCCCACCACAGCTAGCAATGCCTTGGGGTGGCCCTGGGTCCTTCCAGGGGGCCTCGGGGCTATGAGTCTGGGGGGTGCTTGGACAGGGAGCCCCAGGATGTGGCCCAGGCTCCGCCCCCAGGTGGCCCTTGAATCTTGCCTGTGCTGCAGCTGCACCCTCCCCAGAGTCATAGCCCCAACTCTGCCTGCACTGCCCCCAGTGTGGCCGTGACCACCACATGTTGGTCACCCATAAATGGCAGTGCCTGTGGGACTGCCCAGGGTGGAACACAGCGGTACACGGGTCTACCATCCCACGTGTGAAGATGTGACATTCTTCCTCATGCTGCTCCACAAGCAAGAGGGGAATAGCCCTGGGCATGTCCCATGTCTGCCGCGTTCACGCCTGTGACGCTACTGTTCAGGAGCATCCACCCCTTCCCAGGCTCTGCTGTACTCAGTGCCCTCACATCGGCCCCAGAAGAGGCCACAGCCCAGGAGCCCTTAGTTATACTAGGGCAGCTGTCCCTCAGGTCCCCTGCACCCTCCCATCTTCCCCTGGTCTAGAGATGGGGATCTCTAGGTGCCCTGGCTCGTCCTTCCTGGGAAGGAAAGACTGCTATTAGCCTGTGGAGCCCATATGGGCTTGGTCATCCATTGGTAGGACCCCATCCTCATCCTCGTGGCTTGGCCTGCAGGAACGTCCTGAGGAAACTCCTGACTCAGCCGCAGCAGGCAAAAGCAGATGTTCTATCCCTGGAGGAGATCCTGGCGGAGGGAGTGGAGGAAAGCGACGCATCGAGCCAGGGCAGTGGCAGCGAGGGACCGGTGCGGCCTAGCCGGACGCGCACAAAGGCACTGCAGGAGGCCATGTACTACAGTGCCGAGCATGGCTACGTGGACATCACCATGGAGCTGCGGGCCCTGGGTAAGACACGCAGGTGCGCACGCACACACGTGCGTTCGCATACACAGTCACTCCTTGCTGCTCGCCAGCAGGCCCCACGCATAGACTAGACCCTGGGGCAAGGACATGCACTAACAGCGCTCTGTCCTTAAGCCTGCCCTTGATCCTTGCCACAGCAGGGAGTCTCGGCAGTGCCCTGAGGATGTGTATATGAGGAGTCACACGTCTACCGACTCCTCAGGTCTGGGGATGTGGCCTTTCTGTATCCTCATAGGAGGCTGCTAAGACGGACACACTTGAGCCATACCGCGCTAGTTGTGCACCATGGAAGCTCTCCAAGTCTTGGTTCTCTTCTTTCGCCATAGTTTTGGCACTGGAGACCCTCAGCTAAGCATGGGACGATGTCCCCTGAAGCATGAGCTGGTGCCCCTGGGAGGACTTGGCCCACATTGTCACAGGCCACATGCATGACATCCAGGGCTGGGCCAGAGAGCAGCAGGGGGGCCTCTGTGTCAATGGGTCATCACTCCCACTGGCATTCAGTAACCCCAGGACATTAACTCACCATGTCCCAGGGGAATCCCCCCCCCATCCTTTTCAATCATGTAGTCAGGCTTGGGGGGAGCAGGGGCTATCACTTTACCAGGAATAGGACTGGCCTTTGTCATGAATGCCACAGACGGTTTTAAATTACACTGCAAGCCCTCTGCCACCCTCTGGGGAGCTGGTAAAGTCATGACATGCCCTGGATGTGAGCCAGTGGGAAATCTCTGAGACAGGACTGGGTTCATTTCCAACTTTTGTCTAGGATGGAGGCTGGGGATTGAGTGCCCTGAACATTTGGGGGGCCTCCAAGTCCACCTGACCACCCCTCCAGAGTTAAGGGGTCTCCCCAGCAAAGGGTTCTGTGGGACTTCAGGCTTTGGAGCCTGAGCGTCTGCACTCCAGCTGACCTCAACCCCGGCCTTCAAGCCCGACCTCTCAGAGTCTGTGAGAGCTTTCATCACATTCCTCCATTGCCACTCACTGAGCACACAGTGACGGGCAGCCAGCAGGGTGTGCGGGGAACATTGCTCTGTAGACATAAGGGCACAGAGGGCCCCCTGCACGTGTCATCTTCAAGAGGAACACTTCATGAGGTAAATGACAGCCCCTCTTGCCACCCTGGCCAGGTGTCCCCTGGAAGCTGCACATCTGGCTCGAGTCTCTGCGGACCTCATTCTCCCAGTCTCGGTACTCGGTAGTGCAGAGCCTGCTGCGGGACTTCAGCTCCATCAAGGAGGAGGAGTACAATGAGGAGCTGGTGACCGAGGGCTTGCAGCTCATGTTCGACATCCTCAAGACCAGCAAAGTGAGTGGCCCATCAGTGCCTCCTCCAGGCTCAGGGACCCAGGTCACAGACTGACACCCGGGCAGACACACATGGACATACACACAGGCAGGCAGGCACACATGCACGCACACACGCACACAGCCCCGCAGCGCCTGCCTGTAGGGGGCAGAGGCCGTGGCTTTGTCTGTACTGGAGTCTCGCCAAAACAGCCATTTGAGGAACCGCCGATGAAGGAACTGACTCTCTTGCCAAGCCAGCTCTAGCAGGAACAAAAGACAGTGGCGGCTCTGACACTGGCCTGCACCTTTCAAATGAGCCTGATGTAGCTGTAAACAGCCAGCCTCTGCAGGTGAGTTGACCGCCCCTCTGCCTCTCCCCCCACAGAACGACTCCGTCATCCAGCAGCTGGCCGGCATCTTCACACACTGCTATGGCAGCAGCCCCATTCCCAGCATCCCGGAGATCCGGAAGACCCTGCCCGCCAGGCTAGGTGAGCTGTCCCCCTCCACCCCGGCACACCCGTCCCCTCACCATGTCTTCCTTTTCCATTGCTAAGTGCTGAGGCCCTGCCTCAGTTTTCACACCTGCCCTGCCCCAACCTCTTGGAAACTCCAGCCGTGGACTCGCAGGCCACTCCCTGCCTCTCCCTGTTCACAGACCCTCACTTCCTGAACAACAAGGAGATGTCGGATGTGACCTTCCTAGTGGAAGGAAAGCTGTTCTATGCACACAAAGTCCTCCTGGTGACGGCTTCCAACAGGTAGGTGATCTGGGATGACAGAGTCCCCCACCAGCAACGCAGGGCAGCTGGAGCAGAGCGGCTGGCAGGAATCAGCACTCCTGGGGCACAATAGGAACAGGCCTGGAGGACTACAGGAAGCACTCAGGGGCTGCCCTTCCAGCGGACTTACTGCTCTGTGTCATGAGAACACTGAAATACTCTGGGATAAGAGTCAGTGTTCTAAGCACAGGCATCAGGGTGCTGTGCTGGGAGGGGTGGAGGGGGCCAAACAGGGCTCAGCCCAGGAGGAGGTAACACATCGCTCCCACTGGGTACTCTAGCGATGTAGTGTTCCAAACGGGGCCATCTCCCGGTACCTGGTCAGGCGACAGATGGTGCTGTCACTTTACAGTGACAGAATAAAAGTCACATCCTAGTTCTGTCTTTTTTTTGTCTCTTTTGCTGCAGGTTTAAGACACTAATGACCAATAAATCAGAACAAGATGGCGATAGCAGCAAAACCATTGAGATCAGCGACATGAAGTACCACATTTTCCAGGTAAGCAGGCCTGTGCTGTGCTGTCCTGCGGATGCCCGCGCCCCCAGCCACCTTTGGCCTTCCCTCCAAGGTCAGGGCAGCCAGAACTTGGTCCTGGTCTTCCCCTGCATCCCGGTGGCCTCTGTGCTTTGCCACCAGTGGTCAGTGTCTGAGTCAGTGGTAGCAAACATGGCATGGGTGCCACGGTGGGCTGTTGGCATTTCTGAATACTCCTAAAAGTTCACCATCACTGGTCTGGGTTTTTTCCTGTGCAAAAAGAAGGGAGCCCTTCCTTGGTGGTCTCAAGCTCTAAGCCCCAGAGCGAGGACCAGGGCGGCCTGCAAACACCCCCATGTGCTCTGAGGGTGCTCACGTCCGAGTGAGCTCGCTGCACACACAGGCCCCCAGCCCCCTGCATCTGAGCCTCCATGGGGTGCCTAGCTCCGGTGCTGGTCAGGCAGAAGCCGTGCTGGTCACACAGATCAAGCTTGGGATGTTACATAATGGGAACTCCCATTAAGGCAGGTGCAGGCAAGGCCTGGAGGAACAGCCCAGGCTAAGAGCTCCTCTCTGGAAAGTGGCAACTTCGGGTCTCCAGATTTGGGGGACAGAGGGCAGGGTTGATTTCCAGGGTCCTGCATTGCCCAGGAGGGCTGTGTATGGATGACAATAGTCACAGAATCCACGCCTCATGGAAGTAGAGGAAGGCACTGTTTAAAACAACTGATTTCCTCTCATTTGCCCTTGAGTTGCTTACTGAGCCATTCATGGGTCGGGAGATAGCAGCGAATGGTACAGGCCTGTGTTCTGTGAGACAGCTGTGATGCACAGGATGGCTCCAAGGGCGCAAGAAAGATGCATCTCCATGTGAGGGGCGCTTCCTAGAGCAGCAGCAGCTGGCTGAGGTTGGGAGGAGCTCCAGGTGGAAGGGAGAGCATGCACAGAGCCCCAGAATCCGTGGCGTGTTCCAGACAGAAATGGAAGTGAATTCATGAGGGGCGTGAATTTTAACCCAGGGACACAGGAAGCTCCGGAAGGCTTTCCGTGGGGGTAAGAGCTCCAACACCCTCCTAGGAGAGCTTCCCGGTGCTTCACCTGCTCTTCATTGAAGCTCCTAAGGGCTGCAGGTAGATTATCCCCTCAGGGTTGACAGAGTCTGAAGTTGATGCATTTGGGAAGGGAGGAGCCAGGCTTCAAAGCCAGGACGTCTGCATTTAGAAAGGCAAGGAAGGCATGGAAGAGGCCTGGCTACTTCACAGGGACCAGTCAGGCATTCCTGGCAAGGCTAGTTGAATCACATAGGTGGCCCAGCCTGGGCAGGGGTAGTGAGATATGCAGGGGGTCCCCCAGCTCTGGCAGGAGTACAAGGATGTCTCCTGTTCTTTCTCCAAACTTTCTGGGGAGGGCAGCTTTAGAAATTTGTCTGGCCAAGAACTGCAAAGTTCAGGTGAGTTGGAATGTGAGATGGACTTGTGATCACAGCCAGGAGGCTGGTCCCAGAGGCCGGCTGGCATTGGTGGACACAAGTGGACAGGTGACATGGCAAGTCTCCTCACCCACTTAGCAGCCAATGACCTCCTGGGGTTGGTGAGAGGGTAAATGGGGACAATAGCCATTGATCACAGGAGCCTTGAAAACGTTCAGTCAGACCTTTCCTGAGTTCTGGCCCAGAGCACTGTGGGTACAGAACTCTAGCGTTCTGTGTGGCCATCATCTCAGATGGGTCCTTGGACCTCCACTCCTGATTCCTGGGCTCCCCTGGACAGGTTAGCATCAAGCCAGCAATCTAGGTCAGGGCTCCATACAAAAGCCAGGAAGGAAGAAATAGCTGAGGAGCTCGAAGCTCTCGTGTCAGATAGAAAGATAATGTAAGGGCTGTCAAGATAGCTCAATGGACTAAGTACCTGCATAGGCAAGTACAGGGAACGGGGTTCAATCCCCAGCACCACCACAGGCCCCACAGGCCCTGCACCCTGGGCACACTGAGCCAGTCACCAAGATTGGGCATGGTGGTACATGCCTGTAATCCCAGCACTGGCGAGGCTGAAAACAGGATGATCACTACAAATCCAAGCTGCGTAGTGAAACGGTATACCAAATACATAAAAAAGAAAAAAGAAAGATATTGTGGGTCACAAGTTGTCAGTCAAAATTTTCTAGTAGTCACATCTAAAATTTAAAAAGGCAAAAGTTTGATTTCCTTAGCCAATGTAGCCAAAACATTATATTTCAACATGTAAGCAGTAAAACAAATCAGACACAAATGGGGCATGTTGGCACATGCCTGTAGTCCCAGCACTCTTAGAGGGCTGGGCAGAAGGATCTCAAGTTCAAGCCTAGCTTGGGCAACTTCACAGGATCCCATCTCAAAAAAGGCTGTGGGTGGAGCTGGGTATGAGTACACGAGCACAGGGCTCAACCCCCAGCACCACACACACACACACACAGGCATGATCTCACACTAAGTTTTTAGTCTCTATTGTATAATTCACACAGCGCATCTTAGCCCCAAAACCACCTATGGCCAGCAGCTTTCGTACGGTGAACAAACTCTAGGTCTCAGGGAGAGCCCAAAGGCCTCAGCTTCTAAGTGTCTCCCTCAGGCAGGCTGAAGCTGCTGTCCCCCTGCACCAAGTTTGCCTGCTGCCCTTCCTGCCATCGCCCATCCAGCCCCACGGGCCACCTGCTTTGGGGGAAAGGTGACTATCATCTGTCCCCAGCTCGTAGGCTGTGTGGGATTAACCCACCTCTGCTGGTCCCCTCCGTCCCTTAGCAAGGCTCCAGTGCCAGTTCTCTGGTTTGTGGTTCCACTTCCCACAGCTGGCTGGGCTTTGCCAAATTGAGCTCCCTAAGTACAACAGGAGGCCACCCCTCTCTGGGCTAGAAGGGGCGCTCTAGGCTGCAGGATCCCTGGCCAGGCCCTTGCCTCGGAATCTCCAAGGTCCGACCCACCTGCCTGCCTACCCTAGTCCCCGCCCTGGGGAGCCAGTGTCTGTGCCTTAGCCCTGCGGCCACGTAACAGCCTCGCTCCACTGAGGGGAGGGGCAGCCGTCTCCTTTCCCCACCTTGGCTTCCTCTTCAACCCTCTGGTGCCTCTGGAGCCTGAGTGCCAGTCCTAACAGAGCCCAGATGAACGGCGGGAGCCTTGTTTACTCCAAAACCTGCCAGCCCTGCATGTGGCTGTCGCTTTAGCAAGCCAGAGGGATCTGGTTCTCTTTCCAACCAGGAGCCTTCGCAGGCTCCAGTGAGTTGGTAGAGTGGGTAACTTAAACCTCACTACAGCCACTTCCTGGGGTATCCCAGGACCCCCACCCACTCCCAAGAGCCCCAGCATTTCTGCCAGGCACCCCAGCAAGCTTGGGATCGGGGCCTGGGCTCTGCGCTTCCTTCCCCGGGGAGCGCGTGCCAGCTTGAGGGTGATGGGTTAGATGGTGGTTCCTTCAGGTACCTCCCTCCGGACTCCAGGCTCCATGGGTAGACCAAAAGCAGTGATCGTCATATGCTAAGGGGGCGTCTGCCATCCTAGGCTCAGGGGCTGTGTGGGGATTGGAGGGAAATCATGGAGTGAACAGGAGGGAGATACACGGTCTTGGGTCAGCATCCAGAGGTGACGTTTTGCAGGAAACAGCATTTGAGAGGCAGCCTAAGCAGAGTGTAGGGATAGAAAATTATACCTGAAGCCAGGCCAGCCCCAGGGGCACAGCTGGAGCAGTCCTGTGGGGACTGGCACGGCACTCTCTGGGGCCTCTTCCACTGCAGCTAATGATGCAGTATCTGTACTACGGAGGAACCGAATCCTTGGAGATCCCCACCGCTGACATCCTGGAGGTGAGCAACCCTGCACCCCTGGACCTCTGCATGGCGCAGCCCCATGCTCAGAAGTGCAGCGCATGGAGGGGCAAGAGGAGGGGAAGGTGGTTCGCTGCGGAGTCCTTCCTCTCCTCCCACAGCTGGGGCTCTGTGGAGAGACTGGAATGGCGACCACCTCAGAGCCTGGCCTCTTCGGCCATGCCCACGGGTTAGGCAGGGACAGGGGTGGTGTGACCAGGGAGCATCAGACAGCAGGCCTGCCTTCTCCCCATGGACTGCTGCTCCCTGATGCCTGGACCACAGCCTGGCCGGGAGTACCCAAGGGCCGCTTTGCCCCCACCAGCTGCTGTCAGCCGCCAGCCTGTTCCAGCTGGATGCCCTGCAGAGGCACTGCGAGATCCTGTGCTCCCAGACCCTCAGCGTGGAGTGCGCCGTGAACACCTACAAATATGCCAAGGTGAGGGAGGGTGCCCCCACCTGTCCTGGTTTTGCAGCACTGAGGTGGGCTACGACTACGACATTCGGGGAGCTGGACCACCGAGAGCAGTGCAGAGCACAGCTGTGGCCCGCTGCTGGGCTCAGACATCTCCGAGCTCCAGGACCTGGTGCAAAGCTGAGCCAGGTCACATCCATTCAGCCATTCACGATGTCTCCCCACTCCTGCCTGTCTCAGTACATGAGCGCAGCGAGGCCACCTCTCTCTCTGGACCACTGTTCTGCCCACTTCCCTCCACCTCCACTGTGCTCAGTACGGCCCCTTATCCTGTCCCAGACAACTGTGTCAGGCTTTCCCATGCAATCCACGAAGTTCTTTTCCCAAGGACCAGGCCCACCTCCCTTCCTTGTTTCCCACTGCTTGCAAATGAGATAAAAGCCAATCCATGTCACACTCATTGAGGCACCCAGGGTGCCACCCTCGGGTCACTCCCCTCCTCTCTTGATCGCCCCAGGCCAGCTGTGTTCTCCCTCAACTCCTCACTGCCCCAGGACTTCCACTCTCTAGGAGCACTTCTGGTCCCAGCACCAGCGGTGGTCTCAGCCCTCCATGGCCACGCTGACCCTGCCCCATGCTGGCTTTGATCTCCTTCATATCCATGCCGTCAGCCTTACCTTGGTCAGCGGGTGGAGTCCGTGGGAGCCCACTGCTGCCCTACCAGAACTTCAGTGCTGTGGGAGCTGTAGGGAGGCTGTGAGCTGAGCACCAAGTGCCTGTTCCAAAGCAGGCACGCAGTTCACCAACCATCACCATGGGCCCAGCACCCTCCCCGCAAGGGCATACACAGGCGGGGGGGGCCATGGGACGGTCGGCTGGTGTTCGCGGGTGGAGCCGCTTGGCCGGGGTGGCGAGCTTCTGCGGGGGGGGGGGGTCGCGGGCCACTGGCAGTGCGGTTCCTGCTCTCAGGAGGGAAGCTGTTAGCCCAGTGCAGTGCCCAGGTGACACAAGCAGAGGAGATGATGGTGGCCCTGGCCAGGACTTAGTTAATATTCTTGGTGGCACAGGTAGGACTTGAACCCAGGATAGGCCCACTCCCAGGGGATGCTTACAGATGGAATCCAGACGAGGGGGAAGGGACTCAAGAGGCAGACGGGCCTGGGTGTGGGCAGCAAGGCTGGGCCCTGGCTTTCAGGTGGGGCCGAGCAAGGCAGAGGCCTCAGCCCTCCTCTCCATCTGCAGATCCACAATGCCCCCGAGCTGGCCCTGTTCTGTGAGGGCTTCTTCCTGAAGCACATGAGGGCCCTGCTGGAACAGGACGCCTTCCGGCAGCTCATCTACGGCCGCAGCAGCAAGGTGCAGGGCCTGGACCCGCTGCAGGACCTCCAGAGCACCCTGGCTGAGCGCGTGCACTCAGTCTACGTCACCTCCCGGGTGTGAGCCGCTGGCTGGAAGCCCCCAAGGTGGGGCTGGGCTCCCTGCCCTGCCCAGACACCCTCCCTGCTGTGGATCTCTCTGCAGGTTGGCACCTGTGCCCAGAGCACACCTGGCACCAGATGACCCTACCATAGAGCTAACGCTTTACTCAACCAGAAAGGGCTATGGCCAGAAGGTGGCCTTTCTGTCTGCACCCGTTGGCACCTTGCAGGCCACCCTGCATCCCCCCGCGTGTCCCCTCCACCTCAGTTCCAAGCTCTGCCCTCTCCCTCTGGGGCTTCTTATGAATGTATCCTGTCTGAGCCCAGGCCCACCGATGCCAAGCCAGTATTTGCTTTCCAGATGCAAGGCTGCCCCCGTCCCTGGACGTGGCTTCCAGGAGCCTGTGTGTGAAAGGCTTGGTGTGGGCTGCCCCGGCCTACTTCGTCTTCCCGTTTTCCACAGAGCCAGGGTCTGTGGTGGCTCTCCCTTGAGAACCGCTAACGTGTTTTCCCAGCTAATGGCTTCCGAGCCCACAATGTGTGGGACACAGCACAGGATCTTGGTGACCTCGGCTTGCTGCTGCTGCTAGGGGCCAAAGTAAGGGGTGAGTTTTGTAACGCAGGCCTGGATCTAGGCTGCCAATGTGGGCACAGGCAGCGGCACCGATAGGACCTCCTGGCCCAGCCTCAAGTGAAAGGTCCTTTAACTCAGGAGCAGACGATGGCCACACTTCTCACTGGGAAGCATGGCTCCTGGGCAAAGGACAGGTCCTTGGTGGAGGAAAAGGTTGGGAGAGGAGGACCCTCGGACATGTCCCGGCCTGTGTAGAGACCAGACACCGGGACAGTGTCAAGGACAGCTTGCTCTGGGTGTAGCCTGGCTGCCCCACAGGAACTATTTATTCATCAAAAGCCCTGGGCACTTGAGGTGTCACTTCTGTCACCTTGAAAAGTCCCTGGGGCTTGCAATCTGGAAAATATTTTCAACTAGCTGCTTGAGCTGGATGTACAAAGGAATAGGTGTTATTTTATTGCTGTAATATTGTACTATACTGTAACTATACATTAATGTTGTCACTCACTGTAAATGGACCATGGTTTTATTAACAATAAAAGATCAGTAACAATGATCTTGGTCTCACCGCTCCTGCAGGGGCTAGCTCCGAGCTGGGGACAGAGGAGAGCTCATTCACTGCTACCAGGGCTCCCCTGTCCGCAAAGAGCCCCCTGAAGCGGGACTGGACTCGCCTGTCCCGTTGTTGGGCTGGATGTGTCCCTGCTGAGCAACTCCACCTGTGAGGTGAGGCACATGTTCAAGCAGGCACAGGCCACAGAGCAGAAGCCAGCCTGAGGAAGCGGGCAGCTTCAGGGGGGCCTGGGGCTTTGTGGGTGTCTGGGAAGCTGGGCTCTGGGGCACCTGGGGCGCCTGGACCCTGGCTGGCTGAGCCCTGGCAGGGGCCTTGGTGAGAATAATGTTCAGGCCCCAGGTTTTTCTCCAGGCAGAAACTGAGATTTTAAAAAATGCTATACCCCAGGCTTAAAGAAAAATGTGACGGTCACTGGAAATGTGACCTACAGTGGCTATGGCTCAGTAACAATCCCGCCTGATCCATGGGATGTAAGACCTGTCAGGGCCAGTCCCGGGGAAGCCCCACTTTCCAGCTTTGCTGGGGCAGGGGCCAAGCCCAGTAGCTTCACGCCCAGCCTGGAGCACTATTGCCGTGTGGACCACAGCGCCCCCTGGGGGATACAGGGAGAGGGCACAGTGCGGAGGCCCTGCGAACAAGGTGAGCAGGCATAGGTCCCCAGTCACCATGTGGAGCGGGTGGTACCCCCAGCCTAGAAGGCAAGGGCTAGTTATGCTCTGACTCTAGTCACCTTAGGGCTTTCTTCACTCTTTGAAGATTTTTGCTATTCAAAGAGGTGTTTAAAAGAAGGCACAGAGGGGCTGAGGAGACAGCTCAGCAGAATAGCTGGAGTTCAATCCCCGGTTCTGCCAAAGGAGGCACAGGGCTTTTCTGGGCTTGTGTATGGTAGGTACATATCCTTAAACATTTAAAATATTTCAAGGCCTGGAGATGGAGCTGCGCATCACAACACTGGCCTAGCACCTGCGAGGCCCTGGGTCTGTAATGTCAGTGGGGTACGTCATCACTGACCCCGGCGGGTGGACCGACTCCTGGTTCAGGGGCCCAGGGGCAGTCTCTCCTCCACTGCCAGCTTCAGTTCACTTCTCACAGAGAACCAGGGCTGAGAGCAGCATGGGCCGCGTGCAGAGCGAACACATGCGTGCACTCACGTGCACACACACTACCACACATAAAAGCACAAAGGCACCATTCACCCATCTGGTGTAGCACTGGCCTGCAGGCAGAGGGCACCACGGCCAGGCCAGCAGAGCTAACCGCAGGTCTGCCTTCCTCCCAGGCTGCCGGGCCCCAGTGTTCCTCCTCATGCTCTGCTTCCTTCCTGCACTCTGCCTGTCACCCTTCTCCATCCAGTGTCCCCTTGGCCAGACGCAGCAGGGCCACAACTTTCATGACAAAGGCAGAGCAGTGCCAGGAAGCCCAAGCCTTTCAAGGCGCCATCACAGACTCTGTTTCACTCAAGCCTTCAAAGGAGGTCTGCCCTTTACACCAATCTGAAGTGCTGCCGCCCTGGGCCCCAAGGCCTTGCAACCCGCCCCGAGCCCCACACCCACTGCCAGGTCATAACAGCCTCAGATAACGAGCCTGAATGTCTACCAGGTGCCGGTCACTTCCTTCCCTCCCAGCTTCAGGGCCCCTTTGTGTCTCTCGGTCACTCCTGGGCCCCTGGGGATGGCAAGGACCAGATGAGCCCACGGACACGCTGAGGCAGGCTAGAGTCAGCCCCCTCCTGGCTGGGGGGCCAGTGAGGAGTTGTCTTTGTTCGGGCTTCTTTGGCCTCTTCTATCCGGGTGACAGCGTTCAGAGCAGGCCTGTCTGAATTCATTTCACAAGTGACATCTCCCGAGACCACTGAGCTGTTGAGCTATACAGATGTCACTGTCTGGGGACCAGATGGTGAGGGCTAGGGAGGCATGCCCTTTCGGGTTTGAAGGAGAACACACAGGGAGACCGCACAGAGGCTGGTTAGAAGCGGTGCTTTACCAATCCACGAAAGCACCGGGACTCATTCGGCAGGTGGGACCCTCACTTCCTTTTTCAACAGAGGGGACCACGTTCCTGGGAAGACAGGGCTCCCAGGCCACAGGGCTGTTTCTGAGCCAGGCAGAGCGCATGGCGCATACTCTGCTGCCCATGTGGGGCTCTGCCCGGCTCAGGCCAGTCCTATTCAGTAGTCTCAGCGGGCAGCACAGGGGCTAATGGCACCCGCAGTGCCAGGCTCTCCCCCTGCTCCCCAGGGCCTGGAGGTGGCGCCATCACCACCATCCTGGGGGCAGATCTGACCTGGAGCACAGGCAGAAGCAGCCTATACGGGGGGTGGCCCATTTGTGGCTGAGCATGCACGCGAGAGTGGACGGCTTATAAAGACAGTAAATCACAGTTCAGAAGCTGGAGAGCCGGGCCAGGGGGCTGCACGTTTCTGCTTGTAAAGAGCTTATAGAGTGCAAAGCAGTACCAGCACCGCCACACGGCCAACCCCTGCACCGTCCAAGCAGCTCTCGTGCCAGCCCCACCCGACTGCCCCACTTTCGCGCACAGATGAACCCTTGCCTCCGCAGCTCCCACTGCCCCAGACCTCACAGGAGGCCTCAATTTCAACGTGAGTTTCACATCACAAAGGTGCCAAGCTCTGAGGGTCACAGCCAGTGTCAGAGCACTTCTGGGCTCCTGGCCTGAGAGCCAATGTCCCCTTGCTGCCCAGGGCAGAGGCAGCAGCCAGCCAGGGACTGGACCCTGAACAAGGGCTTCCTCACCCACAGATCACACACCTAGACAATTCTGACCGGGATTACTTCTGACCAACCATCTGGCTTCGAATACTCTCACTCTTAAGAAAATCAGTCCTCTTTTGAGACAGGTGAAGACATCCCACCTAAGGAAATTTTCCTGTTCCTCTCAGGAAACTTTGGTATAGATCCAGTGGAGGGTCTGTGGCAGGAGGCAGCAGAACGAGGAAAGCAAGAGCTCTGTCGCCCAGTTCCTGACAAAGGCAGCACAGCCGTTCTAGCAAGGGCCACAGAACCTGGGCTCCCATCCCATCCTTCCACATTTCTACCAACCCAGGGTGACCTAGAGAGCTGAGCAATAGTTCCATTTGGACTGACACCATTAAACAAATGTGCCAGTGTGTGGAAGTCACCAGATAATTTGTGCCCAACAAGCAAGAGACCCCAAATGACATGGCAGAGATGGGGGAGGAAGACATGGCCAGCGGACTGCCAGCTGCCGCACAGCCCTTCACGGTGACCACAGCCCTGCTCTGTACCTGCCCCTTCGCCCACAGCTGGGCTTAGGAAGCTCCAGCCACAACACACAGCCCCAGCCTTGATCCCACGCCCTCTACATGCTCTCCCTGCCAACCAGAAATGGCAACAGGCAGCTCTCCAGGAATGTCGTGACACCCGCGGGCAAAGGGTCTTCTAGAACGTTATTTATTAAAAATAGATTCTCTATCCCTCTGCTAGCCCTGTTAGCAAAAGGGCCTTTCCCAACTGACAATATAATAGGGCTTGCAGACTCCTGCTCTATCTTACTTTAAATTAAGGGCTTAGGCTTCTCTGAGACACTGAGGGCAGCAGGGCAGCTGCAGTCAGAAGCGGAACAGAAAGTAACATGAGCACATGCTGGAATACACAGTAGGCGCCTGCTGCACCTCTGGGTACACCAGACCTCCTGCTGCCCGGGTGAGGGCCTCGGGACAAGCCCATGGTGGGCCCCAGAGGTCCGCCTAGAGCATCATGAAAGAGCTGTGTACTTAGGGGCATGGAAAGAGTCCAGAGTCTGCACGGCTTCCCCAGGCGTGGGAATGAGCGTGAAAAGCCAGCCCAAGGGGACAGGGAAGCCTATGGGACACAAGGGTCTGCACGGAAGTGCAAAAGCTCTTCCCAGCCACAAGCAGAGCCCTTGGGGAGGGACTGCTCCCAGCCAGGCAGGGCTTAGAGATGGCCAGGGGCTGTGT